ATAAGCGTCTAAACCTATAAGGTCTACTAATATAAAAAAAATCAGAATTAGACTAGTCGGTGAGAAATGACTCAAATTGTCTGAAACCCCCACGGAGGGGCCACATTATAAATATGAGAATTTGGAAAACACGCGGGCGGGCAATAACTATGCTGCCAGGTAGCAGACCGCAATAACTATGCTGCCAGGTAGCGGACCGCAATAACTATGCTGCCAGGTAGCAGACCGCAATAACTATGCTGCCAGGTAGCAGACCGCAATAACTATGCTGCCAGGTAGCGGACCGCAATAACTATGCTGCCAGGTAGCGGATCGCAATAACTATGCTGCCAGGTAGCAGACCGCAATAACTATTCTGCCATGTAGCAGACCGCAATAACTATTCTGACAGGTAGCAGACATCAATAAATATNCTGAAATCTGAAACTATTGTAATTTTAATTTCAGCACAAAGCAATTCCTCAATTACGAACATTAACCTGAATGATATCAATTAGTTAATATTAAGAATTTTGGAAGGTTTATTCAATATATGCAATTAAATATAATGGTTCTGATTACGCTTTATTAAACATTTTTTTTTAAAGATGACGCACACATATTGCTTTTTCGATGGAAACATAAATTAAGGTTTAAAATAAATTAAAAAAAAAAAAAAAACTTTTAATAAATATTTAAATAAAAATTTAAAAAAAAAAATTGAGGCATTTTCCCCCAAAATGTTCCTCCTTCTTGAAGGGTCACTAAATTGTATTTTATGTTTCTGATGAAGTAAACATGTTTATAAAGCAACAGGCACCTCACGCAAAACATAATTTGATTAAACACATTGTTATTTTAAAAAAAAAAAGTATATGTAGATAGATTAAATAAGTGTATTTAAAAAGTAAATAACATTTCAAATATTGGTGTTTGTTAGGTAATGCAGGAATATTCTGCTGCTCATCCGGACCTTAATTTCTATATTAAATTTTACAGTAAACATAGAAATATTTACACGTTTTTTATCGTCCCAGTCCTTAAGCTTTTCATACCATAGCACCTTAAAGCTCTTACACCAACATCTAAATTTGACATAACATTTTTAAAATCTTCATTTCTAACAACACACAAAACTCCCTATCACTGCCACCATACCACTACCCCAACATCATTATCCCTACACACCTACATCCACACCCCTACCACCTTACTACTACCCCCAGACCTCTACCACTACACTCCAAACATCACACTACTACCAGACTGTTGTTCAAATGGAATGTTTTGTAAAGTAGTCACCTGTTACGTGATACCTTCAGTAGGGTAAGGAGTATTAATTGATTAAATCTATATGCTCTAAAATGTGGCAAAAGTCTTTATACAAATGTATGCTGCATATTTCAAACGTAAAAAATAACTAACCCTAAGTAAAAAATTTTCAGTATACATTTTTTATAGGAAATTTTCTTTGCATGTATAGATATGTATGTGATTAATCATTTATGTGAATGCAACAAAAGATTATTGTATAGGGAATGATTTACATCAAACTTAATGAATGAAAAACCTAATAGTCCAAAGACATATTTAAAAGAAGATATGTCCTGTTTAATTAAAATAAAGAAACATTTTATTTTTCGGTCTTTTTTTTAGTAAATTCATATTGATTTACATTGAATGTTTGAACAATAGTTCTGTCTCTACCAACGCCTGAAAATTGCAAATTTCTTGTCTTGTTCTTTCGATCAGTTAATATCTTCTAATTCTGATTCCGTCGATAGATCTTACGCAACGTAATGCTGTCTAAGCTTGTCCTAGTTCAACAATATTTTAAGCACATATTGATGAAAGCCTGGTCAGCCGTTGAGCCCTGAATCTTCTGCACTGTCACAGTCCAACACAGGATTAAATGAGCTTTTAAACGTCGATATTGCAGGTATTTTGATCATGTCGGAGATTCAAACATAGAATCAACATTTGCTGGCCTTGATGAATGTGGTATCGAAGAGCAAGAGCATTGTATCACCCAATATGCAATGATTTGATCAATTTGGAACACTTTTCCAATATCGATTTGACCTCTTGAATCTTGTGTTTCCTCGATGTCGCATTTTCTAAACAAGTTCAAAGAACGACACAGTCAACCAGAGATGTGTTGTTTGCTTTGATGCCTTTGGTTTTTGAGACCATGTGCTTCCTCGAATAGATGTATGTGGCATCAAATCCGAAGATAGTAACAATTTTGTTCCGACAAAAATTTCAATGCTGTCACGCAATTGTTGCAGTTGAGACTTTAAATGTTCCACCCTTTCGTGTAGAACAATGGTGATCTTGTATACCATAAGTATTTGGTTATTTCGCCAATCCAAACATTATTCATTCAAGTAGATACTGGTGACATTTTAAAGCCTCATAAGCTTTCAATCATGCAGAACCAGCAATTGTAACATCGAGCTGAAATAATGTTCTGGGATCAACTTTGCTGTGACACCACTAAGAACACTAACTTGCATCAAGTCTCTCTCTCTCTCTCTCTCTCTCTCTCTCTCTCTCTGCAACGTGTCAACGTCATATCCGCTCCTTGATCAGGATGAGCGGAATGATTCGCCAATCACAGCACGGAACGTATGAATATTTTCACGCGCAGTGATGACCCTCTTAGCTGTGTCTCAATGACACGTGTGATGGAGTTCAACATATATTTTTTTTTTCAACATTCATCTTGGCGAAAGTAAAAGTCACCATTAATTAAAGCCTTGATTAATCGCATTATCTAATCATTGCTCTCGTGCACGATGAAACTCTTAGTGTTTGTTTGCGAACTGGCGCTGAACTTGTCCCGCTTGGAATGCATCGTTGGGTGAATCGTATCGTCCACACATGTGATTTTCTTCATGGAAATGTAAATATTGTATTAGAAGGATATAGAAATATTTCTCATTATCGTCAGAGTCTTATATGATTAAGACTCGAACGACTGCAAGATGGCTTCTAATCTTCATTTTCGTGTCGTTCGAAAGACGGAGCAAATGGCAGTGTTAATGAATAACCGATGCGACTAAACATCCTAATCAACCTCGTCTTCGTCTCTAGCGACTTTGATGTAGTGAGTCTTAAACAGGATAGCAAACACGTTCAACGACAATTGCTATAATTTTCTAAGGCCATTGCATATCCTGTGGAAGTTTTGTAGATCACGCAATGATGCTCATGAGACACATGGATATGTGGTCGTTTGAAGTGCTTTTCTGGTGATGGTTTGCAACGACACAACGGCGAGAAGATTTATTGCTTCAAAAGAAGAAGACATAAACGATCGACTCATTCACAGTCAGAGATATGATGCTCATGCACATCTTGAATAAATTTGGTAACGTTTTGTCCTTTTAGAGAATTTTTAAGCCTGAAGACATCTCTTTTGGTTCAGTCTTTGAGCAATACCTAAAGATATGTATATGTACATATTTTAGGTTTTAGATCTACGTTTTAGGTTTTGGTCAAGTTCCCTTCGGGCTTACTTTTCAAGATGTTCATTCAGCCATTGTTTTGATGAATTCTGACGTATTCGCACTAATTAAGGCAATATTTTTTTTTCTGTTGCGTAAGGCAACTCAAAAATCTTCGCTGCGACCGATAACGTCTGGCCAAACATTTTCGTTTTGTTTTGATCCAAAACCAGCACATCTTGATAAGCGGTTCAGAATTAATAGCAGATGCCACACGGACTTTTTCGCCTGGAAAAGCAAATATATCAAGATGCCCTCATTTTGTGCTTTTCCTTCGCTAAAAGCTTGGTCTCACTAAGAGCTACATTTTTACCGGGTCTTATTCCTTTGCGCTATCTCCTCACCATCCATGTCCTCAGAAAGCGTACCACGGCACACACCGAATTGTATTGGGTATAGTTCCGATCTCGTGATTTGACCTTTCAGAGTTGTTTCAGATTGACTTTAATTTCAAACACATGCATAATGTCCATTCGAGCTTCCGCAGGCAGAAAGGGGAAAGACGGAGCAGACACTATTTACAATACCTTATCCAGCCCCGATATGTTTTATCGCAGCACGAGACAAATTAGACGGGGACATATTTTAGTTGGTTATTCAAAAGGGATACAAATGCTATAAATGAGAGTAATTATCTCTCCACAAAGTATTCAATGCACTTATATATATATATATATATATATATATATATATATATATATATATATATATATATATATATTAATATATATATTAATTCTATATAGTCCTTTATTTCAATTTTGTTAGAACTAATCTATGTTATCTAAAAAAAGTATCATACTATCAGTGTTATACAATTTTAATATTATTATATATCATAAAATGATAATCCACTATAAGCATATTTTAAACATTTTAAGCAGCAGATTTCCGATACAGAAACTATTGTATGGGAACCGTCGATTTAAAATCATGTTAATTTTGGGATAACCCGGTATTCAATCTGAGCCCCCCCCCCCCCAACCCCAAAAAAATGTTTTTTATTCCATTAGTCAGGCATTATTTAATTTGTTATCTTGACAAACCTTGTAAAGTTTTAATTGTCATGGTAAATGTTATAAATTATGTGTGCAATTAAGAGTAGAATTTTTATTTTATTATTAGTAATTTTGTTGAGTAATTTTTTTCCCATATATATCTCTTCATATTCATAATACGTTTATGCTTCAAAAAAAAAAAAAAAAAAAAGGAAAAGAAAGGAAAAGAAAGGAAAAGATGACACATTGCAGGTTCAGTTTATATATGATTAAAATGTGATTTTGAAAACTTTCAAATTTTAAATTTAACAAGACGCTATTTTGACTTAAACAATAATTGAACGAAATCCTTAAAAAAACAACAACACATGGATCATTAATTTTATTAAACATTTGGATCTCTAACCCATCTCGTTTTGTTTAAAAAAAAATATTAACTTAGTTACAGGTACAACTATTTAAAAAAAAATAATTTTTAATGGTTAAAATATAAATGTAATGTAAAATTATTTCTAGTACACAGACAGTCGCAATGGAAATAGCAAACGTGATTATCATTTTATTTCTGGCCTGCATAAATCTTCCAAAGGTGGAAAGTGGTGAGTTAAATGTCTTTCAAAAATATCATTTATATTAAATCAATTAGACAGAGTTGTTTTGAAAATATCCCTGAATTAAATTAGATATATAGATATAAATATATTAATATATATAGATAGATAGATAGATAGATAGATAGATAGATAGATAGATAGGTAGATAGATAGATAGATAGATAGATAGATAGATAGATAGATAGATAGATAGATAGATAGATATATAGATAGATAGACAGATAGATAGATAGACAGATAGATAGATAGACAGGTAGGTAGGTATGTAGATAGGTTGGTAGATAGATAGATAGATAGATAGATAGATAGATAGATAGATAGATAGATAGATAGATAGATAGATAGATAGATAGATAGATAGATAGATAGATAGACAGGTAGGTAGGTATGTAGATAGGTTGGTAGGCAGGTAGATAGATAGATAGATAGATAGATAGATAGATAGATAGATAGATAGATAGATAGATAGATAGATAGATAGATAGATAGATAGATAGATAGATAGATAGATAGATAGATAGATAGATAGATAGATAGATAGATAGATAGATAGAGAGATTGATGGATTGATTTATTGATAGATCGATAGATAGTGAAGATAAAGTTGGAACATAAACTGAGTTTAGTTTTAATAATTTCAAATAAAACAAAAATCTCAATAATATTTATAATCATTTTAATTTGTAATAAAGTGACACATATTTCACCCATAAATATTTAGTGCAATGCCAATGGGATGAATCGACTTATTCTGAAGGAGCATGCTTCTTGTACAATAGCACGGAACTTACCTATGCAGAAGCAAAGGTAAATATGCTAGTTTTTTATTGTTTGTATATATATTTATCTGTGTTATAGTCAAGTTTATCGCCTGCAGAAAATTACATATATTTTTAGCGGCGTTACGATGTAAGACAATTTAATATCGACATCTAGACATGCTTGTTAGTGTAATTTAATTAAACGTATTACTTTTCGATATTAGACGGTTGGTAATGCATAACTGTGGGCTTATTACTGAAGCGATTTTTTTACTAGATAGCAGGTGGACTAAAAGCTTATTACTCAATAGTTTTCTTCATGCATCGCTAGTAGACTGCAGATTTTACACAAGATGTTGCTTAATGCATAGCTACCATACTGAAGACTTCTTCATTCAAGAGATTACTTAACGTTTAGCTATTCGACTATATGCTTTTACTTAAGAGGCTGGTTCATCATCAATTTAAATTGTACTTTAATGATAAACATCTTTTGGTAATGTGCAAGTGAGTTGGTGGAGCTGATTTTGTATGTTTCCTGGATAATAGCATTGGACTTTCTTATTCAGATGCCAAGGTAAATATGATAATCTTTCTCTTCATTATATGCACATGTACATAATTTCCTTCTGTTCAAGTGTATCGAATGCAGCACATGGCATATACTTCATTAGACAGTCAGCAGAATTGAAAACATTCTGGTAGCTTCTGTGAGGAAACTGGGGAAAATTATTTGTTGTATCGGCATGTCGACGCGCTTTTTGCGGAAAAAAATAATTATTTCGATGATTAGACTGTAGGCTTCTTACTCAAGTTGTTTCTAAATAATATCTAGCAGAATGTATGCTTCTTACTGTTATGTATTACACTTTTTCCCTGTGCGTGAACATTGCTTGAACCCTAGCACACGCTACGATCTTAGATGGGCGTAGCCTATTCGTTTGATGTATCTTGTTTACTACCTGCTTCCAATTAAAAATGTCTAGTAGGTCTATTAGTATCTTATCGAAGGTTCTCGATTGAATTAGAAAAGTAAGGGCTTCTGTAGACACGTCGGTAGACCCTCATATATAAATGATTGACAGACACAGAGACGATGGAGATTGATAGGTATATGTTTAACTTCACGAGACGTTTATTATTCTTTGTGTTGATTCGCATTGATCATTCATCATTATTAATTGGCACATTGTACTAACTGTATTAACTGTGTACCGGTACAAGATCTACCATACTGTTAGTTGATAACATGTAATTATATTTCTTTTGTTTTGAAATTGTATTATTACTAAATTAAATCTTCTTAATTGTAATTGGCAGCTGTTTTTGTGTGTCGTATCTTTACTATTGTATTTCTCTATGGTAGCGTCATTTGTTGTGCACTGTGTGAACGAGCCATAACTTAAAGCAAGAGATTAATTTCTAACAAGAGAAGGCAGTGCGTAACACTTAATCCATATGTTTGTAAATCATATCTAGTAGTTTGTAGGCTTCTTACTCAAGATGTTTGTAAATCACATATATTAGAATACAGGCTTCTTACTTAAGAAATGTGTTAAAGGAAGCTTCTTACTCAAGTTGTTTGTAAATCATATCTAGTAGAATGCCGGTTTCTTACTCAAGTTGTTTGTAAATCATATCTAGTAGAATGCAGGCTTCTTAATCAAGATGTTTGTAAATCACATCTAGTAGAATGCAGGCTTCTTACTCAAGAAATGTGTTAAAGGAAGACTGGTAGAGTGTAGGCTTCTTACTCAAGATGTTTTTTTCAAGACTTCTTTCGCAAGCCTTTTTGTAAATATATAGGAGTTAGCTTGTAGCCTTATTACTCAATAGCGTTTTTGATATAAGCTAGCAGACTATTTTTGTAGGCTTCTTACTCAAATGATTTGTTAATACGCTGCTAGTAGACTAGGCTTTTACTCAAGAAGGTTTGTTATGGCATAAAAAAATATACTTTCTGCTTCTTGCTGATGAGTTTTTTTTAAAATGAATAACTAGTATACTGGGCGCTTGACTCTTAAGAGTTGTGAACAGATAGTAGAGCGTAATATTTTTACTGAAGTCTTTTATTTGGAAATGGCGTCATCGAGCAGATGAGCTAGAGCTCCTTATGCCTTCACCAAAGAAGACCCCACGCTTTAGTAGTTATTTTGCCATGACAACCTCCGCCAGCAGCCACTCGATCAGGTTCCAACTAAAGCCACCCAGCCCAAGGACATCCGGTGGCTCTTTGACGTTGCGCTCACAGCGTCAGCAGTTGACTTTCAAAGGGGGTCGTGATTGTATATGCACGTCCTAAAACCTTCTCCTCTCCCGTACCGGGGAAGCGTCAGGAACCCTCTGAAGAGATTTATTCAGTGAGATTCTATCTCACAGAAAAATTTACCAAATGCTTGGAAGAAACGGTTCGAACCTAGGAACAGCTTCCTCAATCATGTGTAAAATTGGCTATTTACTGTAGTCTTGTTACTAACTGAAAGTATATCAGTCGTCTGTTATCTGTACGCTTCTCTATGCCTGTGAAACGTAGACGGTATACCAACGGCTTGCCAAAATGCTGAATCACTTTCTTACAACAAGATTCAGAAAAATCCTCAAAATTAAATAGCAGGACAGGGTCCCAGACACTGAGATTTTCACACGGGCAGGACTCCCCAGCACCTTCACCCTCTTTATGAAGTGCCAGCTTCGCTGTGTGTGACATATTGTGAGAATGTCAGATGACTGTCTGCCGAAAATATTTTTTTATGGTGAGCTTGAACAAGAAAAACGGTTTGCTGGCGGATAGAAAACACGATTTAAAGACAACCTTAAAATCCTCATTCAAAGCGTTCAAAATTAACCTAGACACATGGGAGGAAAAAGCAAATGGTCAAACATCAAGGTGTTCCACTTTACACTGGAGCTCCATGCCACATGGAGTTTGCAGAACAAAGGCTGCAGAGCCATCTGCGCACCCACAGACATAACTAGCACACACCTGATTATTAAAGTGGTCATGGTAGACTCCCGACTAGCGACCAACCATGTTAATAAAGATATTTGTTTATGCATAGCATACTGTAGGCTTATGTCGCAATTGGTTTGTTGATATTTTGTTAGTAGACTGATGGATTTTTGTTTATTCATTAAATACACAAATCAACCAAACCAATCATCTAAACCAATCAACCAAACTAATCAAATAAACTACACACAGACTAAACAAATAAATAAACAAATTGAATAATCAAATCAATAAACCAAAGATATATGATGAACCCATCAACTAAAGAAAACGACGAAGCACATTTACTAAACAAAGCATGTGAACAAAATATAATTAAAAAATCATCAGAAAAAATCAATTAAAAATCTTTTAAGCAAATCAATTAAAAATCATCAAAATAAATCAATTAAAAATCATCTAAACAAATTAATTAAACAAATCATCTAAACAAATCAATTAAAAAATCATCTAAACAAATCAATTAAAAATCATCTAAACAAATCAATTAAAAAATCATCTAAACAATCAATTAAAAATCATCTAAACAAATTAATTAAAAAATCATCTAAAGAAATCAATTAAAAAATCATCTAAACAAATTAATTAAAAAATAATCTAAACAAATCAATTACAAATCATCTAAACAAATCAATTAAAAAATCATCTAAACAAATTAATTAAAAAATCATCTAAACAAATCAATTAAAAAATCATCTAAACAATCAATTAAAAATCATCTAAACAAATCAATTAAAAAATCATCTAATACAAATCAATTAAAAAATCATCTAAACAAACCAATTAACAATCATTTTAACAAATCAATTTAAAAATCATCTAAACAAATTAATTAAAAAATCATCTAAACAAATCAATTAAAAAATCATCTAAACAAATCAATTAAAAATCATCTAAAGAAATCAATTAAAAATCATCTAAACAAATCAATTAAAAAATCATCTAAACAAATCAACAAAACATTCTTGAATAAAATGCCTAAAGAACAAAAGTTTATTTCATACAAAATACTAATTGATGCTATAAAACAAATCCATATCAGAGTGCATGTGAATCAATAGGTGGAGTCCTTGCAAAAGTGACGTCCATCACGCAATTAAATGGGATAACGGCACTCCAGAATGGTAAGTGAAAAGAGTTATAATCTTCTGTTTCTATTAGGGACACGTTCGGTCGAGGTTATTGGTGATCTGCCACGAGGTGTGAGACCTACTGAATATTCATGTGTTTTTTTTGGTCATTTGATTTGTCTTTAACACAGTAAATGTACAACCTGTGTCGCCATTCTCAGGCTCTGAAATTGGAGTACCTGATCTTGTGAGCTTTCTTTGCATGATGTTCGGCAATAAAATTCACTTTGTTTCTTCTTACCAAAAATGATATTATTGGTAATGCAAATTACACCCATTTTTAATTTTTCATTCCACCATTTGCTAACAAAAGACAAGAATAAAATGCCTATTTCCATTTCATTCTTACTTTCTCTATTTCCAGTAAATGTTTTTTTTAAGACTTTTATAACCATTACATTTAAATAATCATTTTCAATTACTTCTCTCATCCCCTTTTTGTAAATTTCAAAAAGACATACGTCACTTGATCATATCTTCACAAACTTTAAAATAATTCACACTGTTTTTTTTAACTTTGTACGATTAAAAAAAATGGTGTGATGCAACACGCTCTTAACATTATTCAACACAGTGAAGTTGTTGGTCATGTACTCTGCCATGGAGAACATGTTTACCCTACCTTTACCGCAAAATCCGAATATTTCCTGAAGTTGAAAAGAATTTGTTTGAAACAAAAAAAAATATTGCCCACCCCTAACCTCGCCCTTTTAATTCCTCATATTGCATACATCATTTGTTTAGTAGAATTTGACAATACGAAATTGGAATAAAAAGTATTGCGAGATGTATCCTACACATGTGACCCCCTCCCAACACACACATGCAATCGGTTTCTCTTCCTTCGACTTCAGATATGTCGTTTTATAAATATATTTTAAGTTTTATATCAAACAATATAGTTACTGTTATTATCCCAAATTCCACAAAAAACTCATAACGTACATCGGTTCTTGAATGCATTCACATTGCAGCTAGGACTGTGTGGATCGGTGCCAACGATATTAAAAATGAGGGAACCTGGGTTTGGGAAGACGACAGTACCGTTGCAACAGAGTTGAACACGCTTTGGGCCGATGGTAACCCAAAGGAAGGCACGCACTTTAACTGCGCCCAATTGAGATATATTCAAATCTTTAGTTGGCTCTGTGAAGCTGTCGGTTCTTTTCTTTGCATGGAGAAAGGTACTTCATTTAAGCGCTATGTTACTTCGGTTTGGTAGTTGAATTTTAAACGTTAAGTCAAGAATGAAACAAAAACGCCCCGAACATTACATCAAACCAACTACAGCATTTTTCTATTGTTAGTATACATTTTTATAGTATCAAACTAATGTAGCCGACTATTGCTATCATATTACAATTTATTAGCCTCGCAATACAATTTATAATAAATAAATCAACCATAAAGGCATACATGGGACGTTGGCTATTCTATATTAAATATATTATCTTATTTTAGAATAATGTATATACTTGTTCAAGCCAACACATAAAACACAAATACTAAGCAATGAAAAATTAGATTAACCTAAAATATTTATGATAGCATTATTTTAAATAGAATGTTTGTTATGTTCAGCATTTTATGGCACTTTACACTGTATTATATGGTCTTACAAAACATTAGTTTTATATTTATAAACTATTTTTGTGTGTGAGGTACATGAGATAATCTAAGTTAAAGATCGTAAAGGTGTAAGGTACATTTCAGCATGATGTCAATAAAAAAAAATAAATAAATAAAACTTTAAATTAATTTGACAGATCTGACCACAACTCAAGATCCGGTGGCTTCGACAAGCACAAAAAACGATCCTGTTACCATCAACACTGCAGCTTCCACATCTGACAATAGCGCTACCATCAACACTGCAACTTCCACGTCTGACAATAGTGCTACCATCAACACTGCAGCTTCCACATCTGACAATAGTGCTACCATCAACACTGCAACTTCCACAAACGACGCTAAAGACACCACTCTTGCGACGACACCAATAACTTCTTTCATGAAATGTGGCGCAAATGACATCGAATTAAATGGTCTATTAATTTTACATTTGTGCTTGTTCATGTTTCTAGTAATTTCAGTTTAAGTGGATTGCTTTTTTGAAATTTCTTTATTTTTCGCTATACTCATTAATTTGTAGCTTTGTCTGAATAGTAAACCACATTTTCTAAACAACAGAAAGCACCATTCTTGTGGATGCGTTCAATTATCTTATAATTTGAATTTAATTTTATTCTTTCTTATTCCTTGCAGTGTACATGTATATATGTTGACAGTGGCACACAGTTATCCATTATCAACCCGTTTAATCCAATAGCTTAACGTATTTTCTTTTTAAAAAATGTTATATTCTCCTCGTGGACACAGAAACACGGGACATTTTTTCTTTCCTGCCTCTTATTTGCTTATAGCAATATGAATTTACGTGGATATTTTTTTAAAAAGTGTCTTCACTTTTATTTCATACATTAAATCACTTTATCCTTTTTTTTAAAGAATTTTAAGCCCTATTTTCTTTAAAGTGTGTGCGTTCAATTATATCATACAGTGAATTTAATTGTATAAAAAAAAATAATAATCCTTAATATTTAATGCAGGAATTTATCAATCCATTTTTTGGGGTTTGCAAAAAGAAAATTAAAATTTTACAAAGTCTAAAGTGCAAAATTCCTTAGATTATAAAACTTTAACGTCATTTTTTTAAAGTTATAAATAGCAGATCTTGTTAGTCTTTAGCGATTCAATTCACTGCTTGCGACTTAGTAATGAAAACTTTGTAATACAAATAATTTCTAATAAAAAAATTTTTTGTTAATAGCTTTCTTTCATCATTTTAAACAAAATTAACTTATGATATCAATATTTTTTACATTTATTTTAATGAATCGGCTCTAAATGCCAGAATTTTAATCAATACTTTCTTAGGAACAAAAATCACCATCAGTGTGTGTGAGTTCAATTATCTCTTAATTTGAATTTAATTGTATTGCTTTTTTAAAATTCTTTATAATTATACTTTGCAAGATTTTAAAACAAAATCATTGGAAAGATTTTTACAAATTCTAAATGAAAAAATTCTTTACTTTAGAAAACAGTAATGTCTATAATGTTTTTAAGTAGAGCAATGTTAATCTTCAAGTAATTCACTTCAAGTGTTTGTGAGCCGTGTCAGAAATTATTACGACAGCACATTGTTGAAAACAATGAGACAAAATATATGTAGTTCTAATATTATTTTTTTTTTTTTAAAACCATAATACAAAAATAAATGTTATTAAACAGTTTACATTTGCCCAATTACCTGTTTTTATTTTTTTTTAAAGTATTTTATTATAATAATTTGAAAAAATTAAAAACTATGTGTTTGATATTTTTACATTTCTTTTAATGAAGTTTGTATAAATATTTAAGCATTTTCGATGGATTCTAAAAGTAAAGATTTTTTTCTTCACACTTTTCTTTAGCTATATAAGTTTCATACTCTAGCACATATCTTAGGTTATAAAATTATTATTCATTAGTACCTAACACAATTATTATGCGATTTTTTTTTAATTGAAAAAAATTGAAACTTTTATTTGTTACTTTTTAAAATTATAAGTAAGTATTGCCTAGAAAGGTTGTGAATTAGAAATGTCCTTTTAACAACATTTTAAAAACACTTTCATTAGCGGCTGTCTTATACACCGTCTCACGAAGTGTGTTCCACGATTTTTCTCCGTCGTTTTTCAGTGTGATGGTATCAAGGCATTCATCCTGGTTGTCAACAAAGGTTATTCTCACATCAGGGATCTTCAGCTCACTGACGTTGAGGCGTTTCGGAGCTTTTGTGGCCTGATGTCGTCTCTTAGGTTGGAGGTGAATTTTCATCTTTGAGACAATGAGGCGGTGATCCGTCAGCATTCTGTGCCACACATGGCCACACATGGCCACACATGGCCACGCATGGCCACACATGGCCACACATGGCCTTAGTCACCCTCACGTCCTGGCGGTCCCTATTTCTGACGATGACATAATCAATTAGGTGACAAAGTTTTGAACGGGGCTCAACCAGCAGGTCCTGTTGCGCGTAGGCAGGCTTAAGGTGATGTTCGTTATATATATATATATGTATGTATATCCTTGATTTTGGATCACAAAAAATGGGTCCCCACCGACCATGTTCAGCGGCCACCTATTCTAGCCTCTTCGTATATTGGGTAGTGTTGGTCATATGATTATATGTTTTTAAAATAATGTTTGCCTTTATATATATATATATATATATGTATATAAGAGAAACGATTATAAAGGTCTATAGCGCAGTAGTCCTTTCGACATTCCTCTACGGATGTGAAACGGGGACAGTCTAACAGCGTCACGCCAAGAAACTAAATCATTTTCACACAAGTTGCCTCAGGAAACTCCTCGGCATCGTTGGATCGGACACGTAGCCCTGATGGAAGACCACCGGCTCCCGAAACAGATATTCTTCACATATCTCACGACAGGCAGGCGCTCAAAAGGAGGTAAAAAAAAGCGTTATAAGACTCACTGAAAGTGGCACTAAAGGCATTCAGTATCAACCCTACCCAATGGGTGCAGTCAGCCCAGAACAGAGCCAGGAGGAGAGCAAATGTGAATAAGGGGGCTAAATCCCATCAAGCTAATAGGATAAACACAGCTGAGACACACAGACTTGCCCGAAAGAGCAACAATAGCTCACCGTCTGCATCAACTATCCCATGCCCGGGGTTCCAGAGACTTTTCCGAGCACGAATCGGTCTAGCAAGCCATCTACGTGCTCACCGTAACCCACCCTAACCGGATGACTCGATGGTCCTAGTCGACTTCGACCGACGAACAACAATAATATATATATATACTGGTCTAGCAAGCCATCTAGGTGTTCACCGTAACCCACCCTCCCCCTAACCACATGACTCGATGGTCCTAGTCGACTTCAACAGACGAACAAAAACAATATATATATATGTATATATATATATATATATATATATATATATATATATATATATATATAACATATATACATACATATATATATATATGTTCTAATTTATACGTGTCATCACCAGACGTAAAAAAAAATTGTTTGTATGTAAAAAGTACTTTAAAAAGAATTATTTAAAACATAAACTCTTTGGAAAGTGGCAGTCTCAAAGTCCAGTCAGGTCACTGCAACTTCTCGTTAGAAATTAAATGAATACCGTGTGTTGGGATAGTGACTAATCATGTAATGAATTAAATGAAAGGATACGTTTTCCGCACAGGGATCTAAAGAAAATACACACATTTAAAGACTTTGAAAAAAATTACAGTAGGGTTGAGGAGGAGGCAGACGAACGGGGCCTACATTCGTTTAGTAAATGTAACGATGTGATTTATATGCACGTGCACTTATTTCCTCAATGTAAGAAAAACGCGTAAGACATATCGGGAGGATATTATATATACATATGTATGTATATATATATATATATAGAGAGAGAGAGAGAGAGATAGAGAGGGAGAGAGAAAGAGAGAGATAGAGAGGGAGAGAGAGAGAGAGAGATAATTTCATAATTAAAAAAAGAGGGGTCTCAAATTATCCGGGGCAGCAGGAGATTGAGTCTGATGTATACCTTGCTGCATCAAGTATTCCACAAAAAGCGATGACCAATTCAATGAAGTAAAACTGTCGCAATCTGCGTAACCTTTATAAATAACAAATAAAAACTATGAGGGTTCTCAAGAAATTGGCTTCACTGACTTCCTCCTGCTCCCTGTAGCCAGAGACCTGGCAGCGCTTCTTATTACACAGTTAAGCATCACTTGGCTTGAGTGTGAAAGCAACTGACACCATCAGTATGGCTTGAAAATGCATACTTTGACTTGTATAAGTTCATACTGGATAAAAGCTTTTTAAACACATAGGAACTCCCAAAAAGCTATAAGATCCGCTGTAACAGGGAATATGGAGGGCCATGCTCTAAAAGTGTCCTCCATGCTTTTATGTTTTTCTATTCACCTCCTTGAACTTAGAATTGCATTGAAGATCAATCAGATCCACTTGAAGTGTAAAGTAAAAGTGAAGTGGGGGGATCTTCCATGTCGAATGAGAAAGAGTACGAATTATTGTTTTTAATTCTTCAAACCTGTGATCAAATATTCTTCCTATAGCTTTGCAGTGGCACCAGTATAATTACTACTTAATGTTTTACCTGAGCCCATGGGAACTTTGCATGTTGGAAAATAGCAGAACTTTCTCTGAGAAGGCTGGGAAAATAGCAGAACTTTCTCTGAGAAGGCTGGGCTTTCCATACTTAAGCAGGGCACGATTTGTTTGAAAAATTGCCCTGACATTGTCATAAACAACGCTGACAAGCTGCAACTGGCTTTTTTAATTTCTTGTTTAAAAAATACGAAGCTTCTGTGTAACGTCAACAAGAAATTCAACACCAATGAGCCATTTGGGGATCACTTAGTACAGCAACACCCACCCCATCCTTATTCCTGAAGGCTTTGATTTCTGAACTCAACCAATAAAAAAATTTCAAGACGTTTCCCCTCCTAAGCCATGGTGCCTTGGTGAAGTAGTTAACATCCTTGTCTGCTGATCTATTTCCCCCATAAAGAGCAGAACTGCCGATGCTTTAAGCCCCTGGATCTTTTATCGTTGATGCATTTCACAAAGTCAGACATCACATTGTCAAAATTCAGGCATTTGCTCATGGATAATGCATTGTAGAGCAACGGCCTCTTGCTAACCTTCCTTTTCAAGTATTCGTTTAACATAAACAATTTGTCAATTTTTACTATCAATTTAAAAAAAAAAAAACGTGCTGAAACCGAACGAAGGATCAAGCAATATTTATGATTTATTGATGCGAAGGAATATGCTTTTATAAAAGAAGGATTTTTTTGGTGGTATTTTTATTATCAATTTTTACTATCAATTTAAAAAAAAAAAAAAACGTGCTGAAACCGAACGAAGGATCAAGCAATATTTATGATTTATTGATGCGAAGGAATATGCTTTTATAAAAGAAGGATTTTTTTGGTGGTATTTTTATTGTAGAAAATACCCATTTGACTAACCTTATTTTGAAAGTGACCAAACTGAAAAGCTCGGAATTTCCCTCATTTGTAACTCCTAAACATTAGCGTCAATTTTAATATAGATTCTTTGAAACTCTGTCAGATTGCCTTGATTTACACAAATTAATGTTGTGAATTAACACCTGCCTAACTTTAAACTTTTGAAATATGTATATAAAATATTCTAAGAGTGTTTCCTCGAAGACGCACTTTGGTTATCGTCTAAAACACGGATAACTTGAGGAAGGGGGACACTTATCTGTCAGCAGCACTTTTAGCTCACCGCAAAAATGTATAGGTTACTACCCATATCAAATCAATTTTTAGATCACAGCCAAGAGGACCAATGAAAGTGCTCCACCAGAAATGGGTAACATTAAGCAAATATAAGCAGTATTAATAAGTACGTCCGAGATCTGCGAGAACGTCCTGAAAGTGTGACAAGCATCCCTGTTGACAACCTGTAGTGGCTCGTTTACTTCAGGAGAAATATCAAGAAATGACGTGCAAAAGAACATTCACTAGAAGACATTCAGGGACCGGAACCAGCTTTCAAAAGGAACGGTTGAGGCGACAACACTAGACACATTTGTGTTTATTGCCTCTAGCCTTCAAACCCCTAGTGCATGATTCCCTCACAAAGCGGCACTGGAAATCAGTGAAATTTCCTCATCAACACAAGGAACAGAAACATTGCAAATCCCATCTACATGCATAGGAGCCAAACTGATCAATAAATTGATCGTGGGCCCTTAAGATATAGAAGAAGAAGAAGTAGGAGAAAACGTCGAGTCGTTGCTGCCAGGTCACACCAATAAACTTCAGATTGTTATGGCAAGGACCATTCGAGGTGACCCAGAAACAGTCCGACACCAACTACAGGATAAAGGTTAAGTAAGCATAAGCTGAATCACATTAATCTCCTTATAAGGAATTTAGATATTAATAATAATAATAATGAAGATTATTTTGAAAATCACGCTTCATCCCCAAAGTCTCGAAGTGGGGTACATACCACATATTAGTACAAAGTGCAACATTATAAAAAAACTAAATACGAGAATACCCATTCAAAGTCTTTCACATCTTGCAACCATAAACACAGGCCGATATATCAATTCAAGATAACAGCTAGATAGACAACGTCACGG